CGATTCTGCCGAGGAAAACGAAATAAGCCAGGGATGCTGTAGTAGCCACCGGCAATAAGGGCCAGTATTTCCCATAGGGACCGTTTGCTGCATGGAAAAGCTGGGTCCCATGCAGCCTAATCAATGGTGTTTAGCTGCTCCCATTTTGCTCAGTGGAGCTCCATGTTCCAGACATGGACAGCAGCAGTGTTGTTTGGATTCACAGCTGAACTTCACCAAGGCTGTGGGGAATTAGGGGATGGTCGTCTCCTTTGGACCCATCTCTACCTCCAAGATTAGCACACTACTTCCCTGTCTGGCCGTGTGGGTAGTTATATTAAGACTGAATGAATTAGGATATTAGGACTTGTCTTTATGAAAGTTAAAGTGCTCCAACTCTCTTAGTGTGGTGTGGTTATAGCAATACAAAAGCTGCTTATGTTAGTAGAGCTTGTTCCTGTACGGCCAGGGTGGGAAATAATTTTTGATGGGGGAGCACGCCAAGATTTTGGTAAGTAGTCAAGGGCTGCACTTTTTTATGGAGGGAATATGAAGTCTGGATGGGAGGAGGCAGGAGAGGGGGCAGGGGGCAGGAGGGGGAATGGGTGCAGGAGAGGATTCTGACCTAGGTGAGGGGTGAAGGGAGGGGTGCAGGGTTTGGGAGGGAGTTGTGACCTGGGGGGGGGGAGAGAGCTCAGGGTAGGGAACTGGGGTGTAGGAGAAGGTGTGAGTTCTGCGAGAGAGTTTGGGTGAAGGAGGGGTTGTGATCTGGAGCAGGAGACTGAGGTGCAGGGTCTGGGAGAGGCTGTGGCTGCAGGAGAGGATTCTGGTTTAGAGGAGGAGCATAAGAGGGGTACAAAGTCTGGGTGGACATTGTGACCTGGAGGAGGGAACATGCAAATGGTTTGGGTGATGACCTGGGGCAGGAAGTTGGGGTGTGGGAGTGAGTGGGGTGCCAGAGGCAGACTTTGGCCAGGAAGGTGTTTGCTTAGGTGGCTCCCGGCCAGCAGTTCTGCAGAAACCCAAAGCAGGCTCCCTGCCTGCCAGCAACCCAATGCTGTTCAAAATGGCTGACTGCTCCCTGTGGCTCTCTGCTCCAGACACTGGAGGAGGGGAAGGAGCTCCCCTGAGGAGATGGTCATCTTTTAGGAGCCTGCCACTGTAGAGAGGTTTAGGCTTCATCTCAAGGTTCCCCCTCAGGACGCGTTAGTCTGTGCTGGGCCTGGTTACTGTATTTCAGAAGAATTGTGCCCGGGCATTGATTGGGTGCTCGTCCGGGGGTATGTTTGCAAACTGTAATTCACCATTTTGTTTTCCAATGGATTAACCCCCCCACACACATCGACCTTTCGTCTTTGCGAATTGTTCCAGCCTAGACAGTTTGCTGCAGTGTGGGATTATTTACGCTGACAACTTGGTGGTGGTGGATAAGGAAAGCACCATGAGTGCGGAGGAGGATTACATGGCAGATGCAAAAACAATCGTCAACGTCCAGACCATGTTCCGGTAAGAAGCAGAGGGGGGCTCGGCTCTGTTGGGTGCGCCTGCCTCTC